AACACTGATAGTTATTTGTTAAATTAGATATTAAATATTGTCCTCAGTAAATAAAAATAACAATAATGAAGTTATGATCTAACACCTACTATTTAGGGGTAAATAGAGAAATAGAGATTATGAAAGATTAAAATAGAGTTGACTTTTAAGATCTGAAACTCCAACATGTTGCTAGATATTCTTAATAATTTATTATTTTTATCTGGGTCATTTGAGTTTTCTTTCCAATGATATATCTACCTATTTATTAGAATGGGGGGGAGGACTTGTTCTAGAACATGACTGCTTGAGTGTGACTCAGGCTGTGATACCTACTAGAATGTTACCTTAAACATTTTATTCGGTCTCTATGTGCCTCAGTTTCCTCATCTATAAACTAATAATTGTAAGTAGATCATAGAATAGTTTTCTAGAATTTGAAGAAAGGATAAGTGACTCTCTTGATTTCCAACACAAGTTGGAAACTATTGAAATCCAAAGAAGTCAGGCAGGTGGAGATCCAGACATCAGGCAGGACCATGTAGCTTTGGTGTCTGGCAATAGTGGCCTTCTTGAATCTTCCCCCGAGATCCATGACCAAGAGACCATGCTGAGCAACCACAGGACTTGCCCTGTAGGGCTGAGCTCACCTCATGGCCTGGCAGAGACCAGCACAAGCCCAAAGATGCTGCAAAGATAGAGTCAGGGTTGATCAGCATGCCCCCAACTCCTCCCAGGGAAGGAGGGGGTGCAGATGGAAACACAATACAAGGAGGTCCCTCCTGATGTTGTGCAGTCTACATGAGTTAATACTTGGAAAGCTCTAAGAATAATGCTCTATAATTTTAGATCTTATCATTTTTTTGGATCTTTTTTACCTTTCCAAAAGATAAAAAAGGAAAAAAGCAAAGAGGAAAACCTTAGGTTAATTAATTTTCCTTTCTGAAGCTCAGATCATGAAGATGGGATTTATTCTCTAAATAAGTCTATAGGACTTCATGTTCATTGAGTCATTTTGGAACTATTATTTATTCATTTTAGTTTCCATTGTCACAGATTATTGAATATTGCCTGTGACAAACAGTATTATGGTAAATATCTTTAGTGACATTGTTGTTTTAAAATATCTTAAATAACTACTTTTGAAACTCCCAGATGGTATGAAATTTGGCAGTTGGTGGCATTTCCTAGGCTTACCAGATGGAGTTTGCCGGCCCAAAAGTCACTTGATATTTTTTCCATCATGCCGCTCTTCTAATGTTTCAAAAGTTTCTGAAAAAATGAACTTTAATTTATCAAATTTGCTATCATCGGCAACTTTAGAGAGAGAAGAATAGAACTTCTAAATGAAAGTCATGAGGAATGCAGATTATACTGTTTCTCCATAAACTAATCTAGTTAAATTGCAGTACTCTCTTCATAAAGATTTTATCTACTAAATGAAAAAATGCACAAACGAATTGAGAAATAGTTTATTTTAACAAAGAATTATTAATTACTGGAATATAACGTGCCCTACTAGGAACTGAGAGGGAGACTTTGCCTTTCTAGCTGTCACGATTTAGTAGGAGAGCTAAGGCATGGACAAAACCAACCAAAGTTTAGTGCAAGTGTAGGGGAGGAATACCTCTACCCTCTAGATCCTCCAGCTGCTCCTTGAGACAGAATAACAGAAGAAAATCAAACAAAGTTTAATAGTATGTATACATGGGAGAAACTCAGGAACCTCAGTAATTTGCCAAAGTGGTCAAAGCTACCACCTTAAATACCATCTTTAGCTAAAGACAAAGGAGGATGTTTGGGGTAGTAGTTTGGGACTTCAAAGCGGAGAAAGGCAATTCACATGGAGATGGAAAAGCAAATGTCTGGTAAACAGATGTTTGCCATGCCTTGCAAAGACAATGGGACATAGAGAGGACTTTGATCAAATGGGCCTTGCTAGGTTCCTCCCTGTCTACGACACCTAGTTCATGTTATACTATGCTTATCTATGGTGACAGCTCCCTGCCAAAACGGGCCTTCTATCTTAAATTCTTTCAGGTAGTTAGAGGGAAGGTCAAAGTTTCTTCCTGAGTCTATTGTTCTTAAAAATAATCAGGCCAGGGGCCTGCCTGGTGGTGTAGCAGTTAGTGTGCACGCCCCGCTTTGGCAGCCCGGGGTTCGCAGGTTCGGATCCCAGGTGTGCACCGACACACCACTTGTCAGGCCATTCTGTGGTTACGTCCCGTATAAAGTAGAAGAAGATGGGCATGGATGTTAGCCCAGGGCCAGTCTTCCTCAGCAAAAAGGGGAGGATTGGCGTTGGATGTCAGCTCAGGGCTGATCTTCCTCACCAAAATAAATAAATAAAAAAATCAAGCCCAAGAGACACATTTTGGGCTGGCAAATTTTGATCCCCCACACAAGACACAGTGGAATAAGCAGCATCAATTAAACACCAGGGAGCCCGCCGAGAGACAATGAGTCTGACTTTAAGCGATTTTAAAACTTCTTCTCAATTAGATTTGAGAGGAACTTTAAATAACGTTTGGGATTTCAAAATATAGAGATTGAAGAGGAAAGTAAGGAGGAAAGAAAGGGCATTTCAAGCAGAAATAACAACATGAGAAAAAAGAAAAAAGCTAAGAAGATAGTAATACCACCACAGCTAAGAAACAGTGCCCACTGTGTGTCAGACCCTGTGCTGTCTTTCACAAACCACGTCTTTAAGCTTCAGAACACCCCTCCTTTACAGAATCTGACATTTAGAGTTTTCTTAACCAACTGCAAGTAACAGAACTATTGTAAACAGTGATCAACTGCACAAAGAAAATTATATTTTTCTTTTTCTTTTTTGTTTTTTTGAGGAAGATTGGCCCTGAGCTAGCATCTGTTCCCAGTCTTCCTCTTTTTGCTGAGGAAGATTGGCCCTGAGCTAACATCTGTGCCCATCTTCCTCTATTTTTTGTATGTGGGATACCGCCACAGCATGGCTTGATGAGCGGTGCGTAGGTCTACTCTCAGATTCGAACCTGCAAACCCCAGGCCGCTGAAGCAGAGCGCACAAACTTAACCACTATGCCATTGGGCCAGCCCCTAAAATTATACTTTTAACATTAGAAATCAGCAAAAGAAATTATGTTCTGATTATTTTGCTGATATTATTTCAATCAACTTATTACAGTTTACCTTGATCAAGAAGTACAGGGCCAGCCCAGTGGCACAAGCGGTTAAGTGAGCACGCTCCGTTGCGATGGCCCGGGGTTCGCCAGTTTGGATCCCGGGTGTGCACCCATGCATTGCTTGGCAAGCCATGCTGTGGCGGCGTCCCATATAAAGTAGAGAAAGATGGGCACGGATGTTAGCCCAGGGCCAGTCTTCCTCTGCAAAAAAAAAGAGGAGGATTGGCAGATGTTAGCATAGGGCCGATCTCCTCACACAAAAAAAAGTAGTACGGTAATATTAGCTCTCAAAATGGAGATCAAGCCATATAGTACTGGCTGTATTTCTCCCTATAAAGAGTGGATTTCATGACACACCTGATGATATCATAGTTTTCCAAGGCTTTGATTGGGTAAGGCCCAATTATTAGTTCATTAAGGTAGCGAAGAGAGCATACAGTTTTTATAGATGACTCTGAAAGAAAGTGTTTTTAAGAATTTTTTTTAGTGTCTTAACTGGGATGGTGACTAAAGCTCAGTGGAGACAGACCCGAGGGGCAGGGCATCAGGGAAGGCCCGGCCACAGGCTGGAGACCAGACCCCTTCAGGCTGCTAAGCCGGCAGGCGGACCCACTCTCCCAGGAGGAGGGAGAGGTCCTTGCAAACCATCAGTCAGCATTAGGGTGTGAGAGCTGAGAAAAGTTATAAACTCTTATGCGGTGCTGGAGTTCAGGGTCAGCGCTCTCATCTTAAAGGAAGTGCTTTCCTCTCTAAGGCACCAAATCAAGCTCTCAGGGACACAGACGTGGCAGCGCCCTCACTGCTGGAACTAACATAAAATGGGAGTAAGATCAGCTGCAGAGGCTGATTTGTTTTTGAGCCACTAACGGGATGTTTATAGCCCGCATACTTTCAGTCGGTTCTAGTGCCTGAGTTCAGGGTATGTGGGCTCAGCTTAACGGTAGAAATTTTAAGTGGCCAGAACTGAGTTTAAAGACGTATTGTGTGGAGAACAAAGCTGATTATCACATGAAGTGGCTCCACAGAGAATCTCAAAATATTTGAACCAGAAGAGCTGCTGATGATGCACAGTATCAACTGAAGATCAGATCATCAACAACAGTAACAATAAAAAGGTGTTTGCCGTGGTATTATCTTGCCCCTTTTTTCTGGGGGAAAAAAATCACGTGTGCATGTGTATATGTGTGCACGTGTGTGTGTGTGTGTGTGTGTGTGTGTGTTTTGGGGGAGGGAGGTGAATGAGAAGAAGGCTAATGCAAAGCTATGAACATGTGAAAATTCTCAGGATTCTTTTAGAACAACACTATCCATTGAGCCTTGGCCTCAATTCATTACAGTGAAATGTTATTTCAGTTAAAATAATTTCCTCTTCTCAGAAGTTCATTGTAGCAAGATTTGACATTTAAAATTGCATATTCTGAGAATAGGGAGCTGTAGGAGATCAAAGAGCTGACATTATGGACAATAAGCTCATCACGTGAAATTTTTGCCAATCACCATATTCATCTTATAAATTTCCATTTCAATATTATCCGCAAAGTAACCTTGTAACTTCTTAAGTCAGCTTTATGGGTTTCTATTCTATGCTGTTTCATAATTGTAGAGAGAAAATGTCTAATAAAAGGCAAATTACTGAATTTATTTTCCTTACAGTGCTAAAGTGTTGGCTAAAATATTCTTTGGAAATTAGTGTTTCATTTTTCTTCCGTTGTACAGAACAGTTTATGTGGCACTCCCTGCTGTTGTAATTGCATGTAGTTTTTTGCCTAAGGCTAGGAATCACTCACTCATAAATATGTTGTTATAAAAAAATACGATATTGGATTGTTAGTGTAATGCAAATGTTTTTTTGAAATGTAGGTTGTTTTCCAGTCTCAGTATTATCACAGAGCTTACTCACCCAGCCAACATGAGATTCATGCAATTCAGAGCCAAAGATTGTTACTCTCTTGCTCTTTCAAAACTGGAAAAGGTAAGACTCCCCATTATTAAGTTGCATTGGACTATTTTGCTTGAAAGAATAAATCTGGAAATTTTTAGAAATTTCTAGAAAGAAATGCCATGAGATAGTAAAAATAAAAATGCTGTTTTGAATTACTATTTGGGGGCTAAAATCTTAATTTATAATTTTTTTAAAAATGTGAATTGATGGATTTGAACCATATATATCACAAGCGAACATAATGGAGATACCTTGTTGTATCATCATCAATCATAAATTGAAAACATAACTTATGAAGGAACGAAATGCATCAGGAATGTATATGTTCACTTACAATGTCAATTATATTGATAATATCATGAGTGCTATGTCAAGAAATCTGTATTTATATAGGGCTTTGCAGTTTTCAGAAATCCCTAAGGTCTTAGAAAAGTTGTAGACTTTGTTGAAAGTCTACAAGATTGTCACCAAGACAATCTGAGACAAAGTTGAGTTTATTGCTTACCTCAGTAAGGGAGACTGTCATCTAAGAAGAGCTTTCCCAATGCCTGAGGAGGGGAAAAGCAAGGTCAAAGTTTATTGAGAATTGGAAATTTCATTTAATGAGGGTCTTTCAAAGCAGGACTTAATTAGGATTGGGAAGGGATCTGGATAATGCTAATGGAGACAGTGGAATTGCAAAGTCATGTAATGTGGATAGAAAGGTGTGGTTTCCATTTGTAATGTCCAGGCTGAGTGTGGGGGTAAATGTTTTTTGCATTCAGCATTCGCCTGATACTAGTATATCAGGAGAATTTGATGTAAGAAAAGAAAATAAGATTCAATCTTGTACATGTGAAAATGTTTTAAATCTATGCCATCTTCATTGTTTATAACAATGTAAGACATGGAGATAAATGATGCCTTACATTACTTTGGTTAGTTCTTTTTTTCACTTAATTTTATTTTGATTACCTATTATGCCAGACACTGTCCGTATTCCTGGTAGACATATTGTTGAGTAACGTCATTTCTATACTCTTGTCTGTTCATTTCCGAATTCAAACTGGTCACATACATTATGTTGGTAGAGCCTTACCACTGCTCATTTATAGTCAAGTTGTTGTTAGGCCCTGTTTCCATATGAGGAAACTGAGTTTAAGACAGGTTAAATAACTTTTTCAAGATCACATAGCTATCAAGTCAGTACAGTAGCAGAAACGTAAAGCCGTTAATGTTCAGGACAGAAAACTTCCATTATGCCAAAGCTACTTTGACTACATAGAAAGGGTCGCAAGCATGGCTAAGCTGACTCAGCATCCACAAGCAAACCCAACAATCAGGAAGCCAGCTGGAATCCGTGCTGGCATGGTGTAGTGTGGTCTCCTTCATGACAAGTGAGGGAGGATCACCTAGTGATGGAGAAGACACGCTCTGGAGTCAGATGGGTCCAGATGAGAATGGAACCTGGATAAATTACTTACATGTTCATAGCCTTGGGATTCTTCTCTGGAAAATAGTGGTAATAGCTAAACGATGGGGTCATTGTAAAGATTATACCACATAATCTATCCAAAATATTTAGCCCAGTTTTGGCATATAATCAGTACTCAAATAAATGGTACTAAAAGCATAACTATAAATTGTTATTGTTGACATTGTCACTAATAAATATTCCATTCTGTGTATTCAGTTTTATGCCAAGTCAGTTGATGTAGCACGGTCATAATTTTGAGAGTTATTTTCAATATTGGTGAATGTGTGTGTCTATATTATTGTGTGTCTATTGTGTTAGGATAAGAACAGAATGAGGTTTTGATCTTTGTTGGGGAATTAATTAAAAATAAAATCCTTTCACCAACATAGAAATCCTTTCCACAGATGTGGAAAAGTTTCATCTGAATAGGCATTAAACCAGACTGTGATATGCATCTCAGGCAATCCAATAAAGAGATTGCAAAGACAGAAGGACATCTCATCCTTTTATATAGCTAGACAGATATAATCATTTACATACATATTAATTGCCTTGATCCAAAGGAAAAATAAAACTTGTCGTATCTTTGCAACCAGCAAGAAGTTACAACTTAGAACCAGGCATCTAGGACAAACTCCCAAAGAAATAGACAGGAAGCTTTATGTTCACATTTCAAAAAGATAGTTTCAAGGCCCCCAGGAAAGACATTCCTAGGATACAAAACTGGCTAGAGGTTACTCACATTCTCAAAAGTTTTGCATCCATCCCAAGGAGACAGAGAATGGATTTACAATTGCAACTTGTTTAAAGGAAATGCTCTAGAAAAAAGAGAGAGGAGGGAGTTTTCTTTCTCTTTTGGCACCAGGGAAATTCACTTATTTTTTTAAATTTGTATTTATTCTTACATCTTCTAGATGTTTCCCAAGAACGGTAAAGGAATTCAATACATTTCCTAATTATTCAGGAATAGAGGAGTTAGGGAAAGTGGAATTGAGGCCAATGATTTGAATGTTATAAAACCATGGAAAATTCTTTTTAATTCATTTATTACCATTTTATCCATTGAAATAAGGATTTTGTCACACAGAAATCTTTTAGACTTTTGTGCTGTAATGGGTTGAATTGTGTCCCTCCCCTCAAAATAAATGTATGTTGAAATCTTAACCTTCAGTACCTCAGAATGTGATCTTATCTGAAGATAGGGTTTTTATAGAGGTAATCAAGTTAAAGAGGGCTATTGGAATGGGCCCTAATCTCATATAACTGATGTAGGGGCAGAAAAATTTTCCTTTTTTCCCTCTAGGTTCTTTGACTGGCCTAATAATTAAATTGACATAAGGCAGATTAAGAGGAGAAAAGTAAATTTAATTTTTCAGTACGGGAGCCCCATAAAATATGAGACCCAAAGGGCAGCCAAGCAACTGAAGCTTATATAACATCTTGAGCTAAGGAAAGGAAGGCTTAGGGATCAGGGGATGGAAAGTGGAGGAAGGCCATTCACCAGAAGACTGAGGAGATATTTGGAAAACAAAGGTTGACCTGTTATGCGGATAAGTTTCTCAGGAAAAAGGTATCTTCTGGTAATAGCTCTCTTTCTGGTAGAACCCCTTTTCCAATGTATATTTAGGCAGTTGAGGGGCAGGGAAAGAGCTTTTCCTGAATCTGCTGGGTTTAAATTGCCTTCAGCTCAAAATAATCCTCATGCCAAAGTAGCATATTTTGGGGAGACTTGCTTTGAACACCTTCACTGGCATCCTTAGAAAAAGGGTAAACTTGGACACAGACAGACACGCCTGTGAAGAGAAACAGGGAGAAGACAGCCATCCATAAGCCAAGGAGAGAGGCCTGGAACAGACCTTTCACTTACAGTCCAGAAGGAACCAACCCGTCAACACCTTGATTTTAGACTTCCAGCATCAGGAACTGCGAGACAATAAATTTCTGTTGTTTAAGCCACCCAGTTTGTGATACTTTGTTAGGCAGCCCTAGCAAACTAATGCATGTGCCATCAATGACATGGTAACTGTTCATTTCTAACCAGTATTTTTATCACTGATATAAATACAGCTAACTGACTGTTTAAAGTAATTCTCTTTCTATATTCGTATTCTGGGTACAAGGAGGTACTTTTAGGATTAGGAAACTGATCTTTCTTTCCAATATTTAAATAAATTCCCAATAACATTTTCTAGAGTTATTGTTGGCTGAGGAATAGGTGTATTTTTATTGTTCCGAACATAATTATGAATATCATTTTATTCTATAATTAGATGTGCCTGCACCTTCGCAGATGGGGCCTTCACCTTTAGAAACACAATCAAGGTTATGAATTAGAAATAAATACCAGCATGGCTGCTTAACACACTTTTTGCCACCAAGTGGTTCTCATTCAAGTTTAAGAAGTGATAAGATTTGCAAAGATGTGTGTGGAAGGTTAGACTGCATTGACCTTGGTTGCTTTACTTGTGTGTTGATTACATTTTCACATTTCTTGGCCGACCTCGGGTTTTAATAGGTACATGGTTGCCATTGGTAACAGAAGTGGTACTCTGCAAGGATGCTCTGGAAGAGGCTACTCACTGAAGAATATCCACAATAATAACTTCCATTAGGAAAAAGAAAGAACTGAAAACACAGAAGGATCATTGGTTCATGACAATGATGTGAACAATGATTGTGAGGACCCCCCCCCCTGCTCTTGTGAAAAGGAAGTTTCTTGATCATTCCTTGATTACTTTTTTAGATTTGTTATCTGGAGGAATTCCCTTGTCTGTAGTTTTTTGTGGCCCTTGTCTCTCACCTCAAGCCTCCTCCTGAGCTGCTATTATCCATGTCACTTTGGGAGAACATACTTCTTGCAGCCTATGCAACTTTTGTATCCTGCTTCTTCAAATTTACTAATGCAAATTTGAAAAAGATCTAAATATTTTCAAGCTTATAAAAACACTTTTTTTTAGACTTTTAAAGTCTAAAGATTTTTCAGACTAGACTGCTAATTTCTCTCAAAAACTTGATAAACTCTTGATATATTCATTTCCATTCATTTTTATGGCCAGAATATACCCAAAGTTACTTCTTAAACATAATTAAGTTCTTTATTTCTTTGCCTCCTCAACCCATACATCTCTCTCTTTTCTACTTGGAAGCTATCTTGAGGTTATTGAGACAGCAGAGTTGAGTTGGACTTTGTTTAATGCCTTTTTTCACTTTTATCTTCTATTCTGTTGGCATCCAGAAGCATATACTTTTTAAACATTAGAGGATCTTAATCCTGAGCTCCTTATTTATTTTAGTCTCTACTTGAAACTAATTCCTCCCTAAGCTGCTGTCTTGTAATGTCCAACTAAATGCAGCAAGTAATGGTATACACACACCAATATTAAACAGAGGCAAGTTTTTATGGGCCAGGTCTGGGAGTGGCACACAAAGTCCACTCATATGCCGTTGGCTGGAACTCAATCATATGGCCACACTAACTTCAAGGGAGACTGGGAAATGTAGTCCAATGGTGGCCTAAGAAGAAGTGGGCAATGAATTTTGGTGGGCAGTCCGCATTCTCTGTCACATGGAATAT